GGCTTCCCCACCCTCAGAGTGAGGAAATTTCCTAATATTTAATTATTAATCCTGCCTTCTGTCAGTTTGAAGCCATTAGATATCCTGTGGAGAAGCAGGGAGCAGAAAAATGGGAAGAAACCAGTAGTTCCTCTAGCCTGGTTCTCCCAACTCTTTGATTTTTGCTTTATTTTCTGGTTCCTGATTGGGCAGAATCCTCTGGGTCCTGTCACACAAAGCAGGTCCCCCACACATGAACCCATCCCTTTCCAGGCTGAATTTTCTGCCACATTAACCCCTTCATTGCTTTAAAACTGATGGATTGGTGTCTTCAGAGCCATCAGCAAAGGTGGCTGAAATTCCCCCAAAAAAGCCCACAAGTTCTCAGTAAGGACAGACTAATTAACAATCCTGTTTTCATTAAGGCTAAAAATGCACCTGCAAACTGCCACATCCCCACTATCCCTGCCAGGCAGCTGGAAAGGCACCTTTGGGATGTGTCACATCTCATTTCACCACTTCAACACACAAGTTTTACAGGAAAAGCCCCTGGGAGTCCCTGAAAATAAAGAGCAAGCTTGTTAAAGCCACAAAGAGATTCCATCTCAGCCTCCTGCAATCCCCTGCTTGGATAACTACATTTCTGTAAATGTATTTATAAATAAATATGTGTAAATATGTTTATACAGTTCAGCTGATGAATTGGGCACAGGGATCACTAAAGGTACCTGCAAAAGTGATTAACAATCATTAAAAATGATTGATTAACCTTGTTTCTCATACGATCACTAAATTCCAAACACTGAATGAAGACAACCATTACAAAAAAAAAGCCATTTATTAGATGTATGTACATATATACATATACATGCAAAATGATTTTATACACATTTACACAGGTTCAATTATTAATACAGTGCAAAAATGTCTAAAAAGGTACCAGCCCACCTTCTACAAACTCAACAGCTCTTTGGGAAAAAGGGGAAAATAAAGAAACCAGAGAATTACCAGCTTCATAAAGTGACTAAGCACTGAGTAAGCAAACCTGGAAATTATTGAAGTTTATTCTTTGCCAATTTGCTTGTGCTGAGCTGCTGGGTGAGATGAAGAGTTTCCAAAAGACTTCTCTTGCAAAGTGACAGAATGAAGAAGATGCAATTCAAACCACATTATCCAGTTTAAAGCTGAAAAAAGGGATGGATTTCTCTTTGGGGATTTGATTCAACACAGGAAAAATCCCACATTATGAGTCAGATTTTGTGTTCTCAAACTGCAAGTCATTCTTTTTTATCAAATCTTAAAGCACTGAGATCAATGTAAACTATTCTATTCCTCTTGCTGTTTTGCCAAGAGAAAATGTTTAACTGTAAAAATACTGTGTGGACATGGGATAAATACCAAATTAAAAATAAAAATAGATCAAATTCTGTGTGTTCTGCCTCATCCTGGAACCCCAACCCAAACCTATGAAGTGCACACAGACTAATCCATGTGGATTCCTTAATATGGTTTACACCTATTACAGGAAAATAAAAGGTTGCAAAGGGATTAAGACCAACACCAAAGCAGAGCTTTGTCACTGGGTAGAAAACAGCTGGAGATTCAGCCACATTCCCCAAAAATCCACAAAGAAAAAAATACAATAGGTGTGTAAATGTTAGACAAAAGCAGAATTGAATCAACTGTTTTGGTTTGATTTTACTGAAATGTTTTCAGGAAAACAATTCAAAAAAAGCCAAAATTAACCTTTCTCCACTCTGTTAATTGCACAATTATCCAGACACCCTGTTCTAGCACTCCTCTGCAGAGCTGTGGCTGCCATGCCCTGGCTCAGGCATGGATTTGTTTCAGGACAGAGCAGTTGGATGCTGGCAAAGCAGCAGCAGGAATGTCCCAACTTTTCCAACGCGCTCTGGGGAATGCCCTCTGGAAATGCTCTGTGGGGAGAAACAGGAAAAGCTCTTCTGGACTCTTTGGCCAGAGTGAGGATAAAAAGGCAGGAGCAGGGAGCTGGCTCCTGTCCTGAAGTCCTTTTCATGAAGATCTGTCTGGATAAAATGCTTCATCCCTTTCCCACATGAATCCAGTGGGGTGATATCCAATTTATGCTCCTGGAAAACACCACCAATCACCAGATCCATTATCCCTGAAGTGTTAAGTTTTTAGTGTCAGATTTTTGGGGTGTTTTTTTTGCAGATTTTTTTTTTTAAACTTGTAATCCAAACCTGTAATTTTTTTTTGTAACTTGTAATGCAAATTCTGAGTGACTGAGTTCCCTGCAGCCTCCTCCAGAATTTACCAGGGAAAACTGGGAGTGAACGGTTTGAAAATTAAGAGCAGCACAAAACCCCTCACATCTGTGGGGTCATCTTGGTGTCTCAGGGACAGGGCTTGAATTGTGGCTTCATTTCTCCACTGCTAGTCTGACAGAAAACTGGGATAATGACAGACAAACAACTTTAATCCCCTCCCTTAGAACAGAAAACCTTTCCCTTATGGCACTCAGCTCGAGCTGTGTCCAAAATTTCTGGCTAAAATATTCCTCCATCATTCCTACCAGACTATTCCTCACACTTTGGAGGTTTTTTCCAGGTTGCTGTTCCAGTAAGTGCAGTGAAAAAGAAATCCCTACATTCTCCTCCTGGCACTATGTCCCCTGATGTCCTAGAAACTGTCCAGGTTGGAATGAGCTGCACATCCAGAAGTGCTTCCAAAGTCCAGCACCACAAATTTCTGGTCTGATCCTTATGTTTGCATCCTGAGATTCCAGAAGAACTCACTGACATAAAAACAAGGAATTTTCTGCCTCATAACAGAAAACCTTTCCTTTATGGCACTCGAGCTGTGTCCTTAAATGCCTGGCTAAAATATTCCTCCATCATTCCTAGCAGACTATTCCTCACACTTTGGAGGTTTTTGTCATGTTGCTGTTCCAGTAAGTGCAGTGGAAAAGAAATCCCTACATTCTGGCACTAAGTCTCCTATGTCCTACAAACTGTCCAGGTTGGAATGAGCTGCACATGGATGCTGCTGCTGCATCCAGAAGTGCTTCCAAAGTCCAGCACCACAAATTTCTGGTCTGATCCTTATGTTTGCATCTTGAGATTCCAGGAAAACTCACTGGCATAAAAACAAGGAATTTTCTGCCTTAGAACAGAAAACCTTTCCTTTATGGCACACAGCTCAAGTTGTGTCCTCAAATACCTGGCTAAAATATTCCTCCATCATTCCTAGCAGACTATTCCTCACACTTTGGAGGTTTTTGTCATGCTGCTGTTCCAGTAAATGCAGTGGAAAAGAAATCCCTACATTTTCCTCCTGAGTAAAGCTCTGGCACTAAGTCTCCTATGTCCTAGAAACTGTCCAGGTTGGAATGAGCTGCACATCCAGAAGTGCTTCCAAAGTCCAGCACCAAAAATTTCTGGTCTGATCCTTATGTTTGCATCCTGAGATTCCAGAAGAACTCACTGACATAAAAACAAGGAATTTTCTGCCTCATAACAGAAAACCTTTCCTTTATGGCACTCGAGCTGTGTCCTTAAATGCCTGGCTAAAATATTTCTCCATCATTCCTAGCAGACTATTCCTCACACTTTGGAGGTTTTTGTCATGTTGCTGTTCCAGTAAGTGCAGTGGAAAAGAAATCCCTACATTTTCCTCCTAAGAAAAGCTCTGGCACTAAGTCCCCTGATGTCCAGGTTGGAATGAGCTGCACATGGATGCTGTTGCTGCATCCAGAAGTGCTTCCAAAGTCCAGCATCACAAATTTCTGGTCTGATTCTCGTGTTTGCATCCTGAGATTCCAGGAAAACTCACTGACATAAAAACAAGGAATTTTATCAAGTGTTCCTGCAAAAAAAAAGACAACTCTGCTGCATGTTAATCTCTTTGCAACCAGAGGTAGAGACCATGTGAGAGGAAAAAGAAATCTTTGGTGAAAGAAATGGGAATGACCAGGAAAAAAAAAAAAAATGAAATTTTAGGACCATAATTCCACAATAACATACCTACAGTTTGAATCTCTACAAGCCCTCAAGGACAGCTGCATCAAACTGCTATGCATTTTTTTAACAGCCAGCCTAAATTATTCATCTATGCCCTAAAATGGCCCTGTGCACCCAGATCCATGACAGAGCAGAACAGCCAGTGCAGCAGAGGTTGGGAATTCCAGTCCCCAGTTCCAAAGTGCACACCCAGAAACTCATCTGAGTGTAAGAATTCACCACCATTAACCCCAGCTGCTGTGTTCTACAGAACAAAGAGAACCTGCTCTTGCTTTCCATTCCTGAAAATGGCTTTCTACTCACCAGCTACTCATTTTATTAAAAGAAGGTGAAGGAGTCAGTGGCCTGTCATAAATAGGCTTGGAAGATTTATGATCCATACAGGCCAAGCAAACATGGAATTGCCCTTATCCTAAAAGTGACCTTAGCCAAGGAAACAAAGGCCACAAGAGCTGACAGATCACTTACACCCACTTGGATTATTTTTTGCTGCCCCAAGCATATTTGCATTTAACCCATGAGCACACACTAAACTGCAATGTGCTGTTCAGCCAAGGAGATATTTATAGACTTTATGGTTTATAAAAGAGTCACAGCCTTTCCCTGTCCTTCCAAGCCTAGAAAAATGATCCTGAAGCTCACCCTCAGCATTTTCCCCACTGATTCTGCACTCACCTAATTACAGCAAACAACCCCTTCACTCACATTTACCAAGACAAATCTAGAGACAGAGATGTTACCCATCACTTTACCCTTGTTTTACTTCACCATTGGAGTATTTGCAGCAGCAGGGCAAGACTGACCTGCCCAGCTCTCACAGAGCCAGTGAGACAAATGGCAAAATGCTGTCAGGATGGTGGCAGCCAAGGAGGAAAAGCCTGCTGAAGGTAAGAATTCCATCTGTGCTGACACCTGACAAGCCCCACCATGTCAAATACAGCTGCACCCCTTGCTGTGTGCTGGACATAATTACAGGATCCTACTGATCCCAAGTTGCTGGGAGCTGTTTTCCTTGCAATAACCATTGCCATGGATGGTTAAAAAACACTCTGAGCTATTTTTGGCCAGGTGAATACAAAAAAAGAGTTGTAAAAACAGAGTAGCAAACCCCAAGTTTGGTTGTTTTTTGTTTTTTTTCATACACCACAGTCAGGCTGCTTCTCCAGGAGCTGCCTTGTCAGGATCTGGTAAGAGGAAAGAGAAGCCACTCCTATGTGGAAGGAGATTTGCCAGAGGTTCCTCAATCCATACAAGTAGATGTTGCATGAACAGACACAGAAAAGGAGCACAAATGTCTTCACCTTCCTGGCTGAGCTGTAGAAGAGGTACAGGTAACACTGCAAAAGGAGCAGAAGGGAGAGTTAGCACTGAGCTCTGCACAAAGCCAGGGATCCAGCTGGGAATTGCTGCCTGGGACCCATCTGCTGAGCATGTGAAGGGCAAAACCCTCACAGGAGAACATGAAAAGCTCCCAGTGCTGACAGAGGAGTCCCTTTTTCCCCTCAGGCAGTGACAGATCAGCCTCTGTCAGCTCAGGTCACAGCTTCCACAGCTGAGGCAGAGGTCAGCACGTGCAGGTTGTGCACAGCTTTTGGGGGGAAGCTGCCATAAATCAAAAGGAGAAGAGAGAATTCTCCTTTATTCAACTTCCCTGGCTTCAGGTACTCACAGGGAAAGAGGAAGCACAGAGCCTTTCTTTGTGAAAAACAATCTCCATCAAGTACTTAAATCTAAATTAATTTATTAGATCTAAATTGATTTATTGGATCTAAATCCATCTATTAGATCTAAATCAGTCCATTAGATCTAAATCAATCCATTAGATCTAAATTAATCTATTAGATCAAAATAAATCTATTAGATCTAAATAAATCTATTAAATCTAAATCAATCCATTAGATCTAAATCAATCCATTAGATCAAAATAAATGCATTAGATCAAAATAAATCTATTAGATCAAAATCCATCTATTAGATCAAAATCAATCCATTAGATCAAAATAATCTCTTAGAACAAAATAATCCATAGGCTCTAAATCAATCTATTAGATCTAAATCAATCTATTAGATCTAAATCAATCCATTTGATCAAAATAAATGCATTAGATCAAAATAAATCAATTAGATCAAAATCCATCTATTAGATTGAAATAAATCTATTAGATCTAAATCAATCAATTAGATCTAAATTAATCTATTAGATCTAAATCAATCCATTTGATCAAAATCCATCTATTAGATCAAAATCCATCCATTAGATCAAAATAATCCCTTAGAACAAAATAATCCCTTAGAACAAAATAATCCATTAGATCTAAATCAATCCATTAGATCAAAATAAATGCATTAGATCAAAATAAATCTATTAGATCAAAATCCATCTATTAGATTGAAATAAATCTATTAGGTCAAAATAAATCTATTAGGTATAAATCCATCTATTAGATCTAAGTAAATCTGTTAGATCTAAATTCATCTCTTCACCCCAAAGCTCTGCCATGAGCAAAGGTGTAAGAAAGCTGAAGGACACTAAATTGTATCATAATACAACAAATAATCCCATAAATACATCAAAGTCTGAGAGTGGTCCCCAAACCATGGTCCAAAAGGAAAAAGGACAATGAATACACTGTAGGCATCAGTTATTCCTAGAAACAAAACTGCAGCACCTTTCTGCAATGCCAGGCTCAAAGCTGAAGATTTTCCAGCATATGCTGCCCTCAAGTTAAAGGTTGTGGAATTTTTTTAGGAATTCAAGGAGCCTTTCAAGAAAAAACAATTTGGAACAGGTTGTATTTTCCTCATTCAAACTCTTCTGTGTAAGGTCAGAGGAAATAACCCCATTATGGAAAAAAAAATTGAAAATGTGGAAAATTGGAATATGGAAAAATCCCATTAAGGAACCAGCAGGATTCAATGTGATTTTTCATGTAAATTACACCATTTTCAATAATGTTGCTGTCCAATGTTTGCTCAGTCCTCAGTCCTGTTAAGTTTTTATTGTCAGATTTTTGGGGTGTTCTTTTTGCAGATCTTTTTTTTTTTTAAACTTGTAATTCAAGGTGGCTGTGCTGCAAAAGCCCATCACTAAGTCTGACACTTAGATGTGTCCATCCCTTTGGGAAGGAACCATCTTTGGGATGGCATTTGTCCATCACACCCAGCCCCCTCTGACTTGTCAGAACATGGAAGCACTGAAAAAGCCTGCAAATGCAATTTCCCAAGGCTCAAAACGTGCCTTGAACTGCTTTTGTGCCACTTGACTGGAATAAATCAGTGGAATCACCTGGCTAGGATGTTAAAAACCTCTGCTTAGCTGGAAATGGCTCTGTCTTGTGAATTGTAACGGCAAAATAATCAGCAAAAATTTTTATTTGCAGTTCACATACCTGAAAAACACAGGCTAGAAAAGGTAGAAAAAAAGCTATCACATTTCCAATTCCTTCATGGTCCTCCTGTTGGGATTAAAAGAAGTGACAACTATGTCAGGCACAGCTTTTAGCAAGTGCTGCTTGATATTTGAGAACATTTTAAATATAGTCAAGAACCTCTTAGCCCAGTTTATGGTGATTGACTGTAACAGTGTCAAACACCAAGATCAATATCATTGGATAAGACACCAAGAACTGAGCCTTATGTGACAGCTCCTGCTAAATAAAACTGTGTCAGGATACAATCAGCACACTTTTTCCCCCCCTTTTTTTAAAGTTGTTTATTCTCATGTTTATTTTTAAAAAATTACAGAAAAGGATCTAAAATAAAGTGCAAGAATGGAGGAAAAAAATCCAGGCAGCCTGGTAAGAATAAATAAATTACAGAAAAGGATCTGAAATAAAATGCAAGAATGGAGAAAAAAAAAATCCAGGCAGCCTGGTAAGAATAAATAAATTACAGAAAAGGATCTGAAATAAAATGCAAGAATGGAGAAAAAAAAAATCCTGGTAAGAATAAAATCTGGTAAGAATAAATAAATTAAAAAATAAAATTTGTAAAAATTATTAAATAAGTTTTAATTCTAAAACCTATTTAATAATTTTTAGAAATTTTATTTCTAAATAAAAAAATTTGGAAATTTTATTTCTAAATAAAAAATTTAGTAATTTTAATTATTTAATAATTATTTCATAATTATGTTAATAATTATTTTAATAATTAAATAATGAATAAATAATTTAATATTTTTTCTTTATTTTAATAAATAAGTAATTTTTAGAATTTTAGAATTCTAAAATTAAAAAAATAAGTTTAAAAAGAAATAATTAAAAAATTAAATTTCTCAAAATTTAAACTTCTACAGAACAGAATAAAATGCAGAATATTGTGATGTACAGAAAAATACACAAGGTGTAGCAGTCCTGGAGAAACAAAACACTTTTTGTGGAGAGATGTGTGCTCAGCTGAGGGGCAGAACAGCCACCCTTGAAGTGGTTACCCAAAAATTCATTGCCTTTCCCTCATTCTCAGGTCTGGGAGCATCAGGCTTACCTGAAAGGAATATTCTGCCAGGTGAACCCCTCGGATGAGGTTCAGAGCTCCACACATGATGTTCAGAACAAGTGACAGAATCCCCAGGGGGGTTACAGGCTGCATCCTGTAAGTAGGGACTGGAAATGAAATGAAAAGCAGACATTAGTGAAAGTTTGCACTATTGCTTTCAAGCTTTTACTAGAAAACACCACAATTACTTTGTGTGGGTTTTAAACACTTGCAAAACATTCCATGCTTGCTCCAGGGAAGATTGATTATGAATAGAAATCTCCCTTTTTTTTTGTTGTTGTATTGCAGTATTCAGTTCTTCACACATCCAGAAATCACCAAGAGCTCTGGAGTACTTTTAAACAATTCAACAACAGATTTTTCTTGACCTATTTGGCATCAATGTCTTCTGTGGTGCACACAGATAATTCTTTGTTTATTCCAGCAGATGAGGATGCTCAGCACTCCTCAGATCAGCAGAAAAGCTAGAGGCTTTCCCCACCCAAAGGTCTGGGGAAGGGCTTAGATTTCACCCATCACCACAGCAAGGCAGCAACTCATCTCCTCCTTAGCCAGTAATTAAACATTTTATCCCACTTGAGGGCTCAGGCTGCCCCCATTTCCCAGGTAGGGAATTATCTGCCTCCTGCCTTTCTCACTTTCTCTGCTACTACTTAACACCCACCCTGCTGAACAGCAGTTCTGCATGATAATCCCATTGATACATGCCTAATTAAGGTCAAAGTAATTATCATAAATGTGTGTTTAGCTTTGGAATTGGCTGCCTTTAATTCAGGCTTGGCCAAGAGCACACCTCCAGTTTTCCTGCACTTGTTCAACAACAAATTCCACACCTTGATCCTCAGCTGCATTTCATTCCTGCCCTTGCATCACCACAAGTAGGACACTGTTAGTTTCATAAAAAATGATAATTTGTACTCAGATATCAAATCCAGATCTGCTGAACCCAAGAGACAGGAGAGAATGAATGAGCCCTCAAGGAAACCATCTCCAACCTGTGCCCAGTGAATCCAGATCCTCTTTATCTGACTCTTTATCTTTTTATCTGACCTTTCCAGATAAACTGCACCTCTGGCTTCCTTTGAGTGACAGATGAATCACCACAACAGCCATTACATGATTTCAGAGAGAAAAACACTCCTGCCTTCTCCTTCAAGCCAGATTTTGATAGATGGATGTAAAAAACTCTGGTGCCAAATTAATACAGAGATGTAAAGCACCTTTCATCCGTGTCTCTGTAATTAATTTGTCTGGCATGAACTCACACACCCATAATTTCAGCTCCAAAGGAACTGGATCAACTCAATTTGATGTGTGTCACTTTAGGGAGCATCACTGGGTACTGCAGACAGAATGGTGTAACTCTGTCACTCAAAGGCAATCTGCCTTTTCTTTGCTACACAGTGACATTTACAAAAAACTCCTAGCAGCATCTCTATTCATTCCCTGACCCCAGAATTCAGTTTCCTTCTATTTTTTTCCTGCTATTCCTACTTTTGACTAATTAAATAATGTTGCAGCTATATATGTGTGTAACTCTCCCACAGATATTTCCTAATAAAGAATGATCCTCAAATTTTAAGGTTTACTTCAGAGGCATAAATGTCTCTCAAACAATTATAATTATTAAACACAAATGTCATTCATTGAGCAGAATCCTGCAAGCCACATGTGCCAAGAGTTCCCAGTCCCTAGGGAAAAACAATGTAAGTCTCATGCTTCTGCAGCATGAAATATTATGTAAAAGTTACATTTTTTTTTTAGTCCAGGAGGATAAAAAGAATTGCTGTCACAGATGCAGGGGAGATTAAAACATCCAGTTGCTCAGGGTTCAGATTTTGTGAAAACTGGGCTTGAAATGGTTTGCTGCAGAGATTTATTTGTGCTGTTTAATTCTGAGGTTTAACTCACAAACTGAAATTGCACAGAGAAGTGAGATGGGTCCTGCTAAGGGAAAATTATTTCACTTCCTTGGGTGAAGTCAGTCATATTTTTATCAAGAGAATTTCATACTGGCATGGCCTATTATATTAAATAAGGGAAAAGAAGAGTACAAACACTCAGTCCAGGACAGCACACTCTGCACAAGCACAAATAAACACTAATTAGGCTTCACATTGATCTGCCTCCTCAAGCACAGAAGTTGTGCCCTTCAGAGCACAAGATCCACACAGAAACATTCTGGGAGCTGTGGGTGATGCACCAGCAGGTTTGAACATGTGCAGAATAACTGCAAACACCCTCAGCCAGTGAAGAAATTGAAACCTCTGCCCATGAAAGATTTTCTGGCAGAGGCCTGTGGCCATTTCACTGGAGGGAGACACCAGAGTGTGCAGCAGCAGCTTGGATCTGCCTCCTGCAGGCACAGCACAAGGCTGGACATGAGTCACTGACTCAGAAAGAGCACCAGGAGTGAGAAATGAAATCACTCCAACAGCCTCAACTGAAACACAAGCACACAAAAGGCAGAGAGTGAGACAGCTTCAAAAACAGCCCCTGAAAAGGCCTTTGAAGGACTCCCTGTGTGCCTGTGGGAGATGAAGAACACTCACCAAGGGGAGCTGCAGGATTCACTGCTGCCTCACAAGGGCAGTGGCACAAACTGTTCTGCTGCTTCCCAGAGGCAGCTGGGATGTGCAAACCCTCCCTGCCCACAGAGAGCCCCTGTGCCCTGCACCCAGCCCCATCAAACCCTTCCTGCCCATCCCAGAGAGCCCCTGTGCCCTGCACCCAGCCCCATCAAACCCTCCCTGCCCACAGAGAGCCCCTGTGCCCTGCACCCAGCCCCACCAAACCCTTCCTGCCCACAGAGAGCCCCTGTGCCCTGCACCCAGCCCCATCAAACCCTCCCTGCCCATCCCAGAGAGCCCCTGTGCCCTGCACCCAGCCCCATCAAACCCTCCCTGCCCATCCCAGAGAGCCCCTGTGCCCTGCACCCAGCCCCACGTCCTGGTGCAAACCCTCTGTTCCAGATTGCAAGGCAAGAGGTATTTTATTCCCATCTGCATGGCAGATTGCCTTTGTCAAGTGGGCAGTTTACCTTATCTCTCTCTCTGAGTGACCACAGTCACTCCTCCCTCAGGAGGGGACACCTGCTGATAACAGCCATTGAATGTCCCTGCATGGCTGATAAGAACTACAGCATCCCATTGGGAGATGTGAGCCCAGAGGGAGGAGCCAAGCATTCCTACCTGGATATAATCCAGAGGTTTTGAGACACCAGCAAGGCTTTCTCCACTGGATTTCCCAGAGGAACAGCAGCTGCCTCTCCTTCCCCTGGATCTTCAGAGGCAGAATAAATCCTTCTCTACAGGATCCCTGCTCCAGCAGAGCCAGCCCTGACACTGCAGGAGGGCTGAGCCACAATTCCAATGGCACTGCCACCAATACCCTGACCCACAGGGTGTCAGGCTGGGTTCTGACTCTGCCAGTGTTGTTCTAGTTCACTGCATTGTTTATTTTATCCTTTTATTGTCTTCCCTATTAAAGAACTGTTATTTCCTGCTCTCATATTTTTGCCTGAGAGGTCCTTAATTTCAAATTCATAGCAATTCAGAGGGGTGGGGAGGGTTTACATTCTCCATTTCAGGGGAGACTCCTGCCTTCCTTAGCAGATTCCTGTCTTTCCTAACCAAGACACCCTCCCTGCCCACAGAGAGCCCCCTGTGCCCTGCACACAGCCCCATGTCCTCTGTGCCCACACTGACACCAGAGAGGCTCTGAGCAGCAGCCAGGGCTCTGGGGGTGCTGATCAAGGGGGCAAAAGAAGGGTTTTTGTAGCCAGTTTTTGGGTTTTTTTGGGCTGGGTTTAGTTAACAAAAGGAAAGAACAAACAGCAGAAAGAATGGAAGCAAGAAGGGGAAAAAAAAAATCTCTTGTTCTCAAGAATACTAACAAGGAGAGAGCTGCCCTGACTCTTCTGGCCTTTTTCACAGCAAACTGAAGAGCCAGAGGATGAGCTCAGCCAACTCCAAAGAGGCCAGCAGCAGCTCCAGCCATGTGAGGAAGGGATGTTTGGATCATCCCTGGATCAATCAATCTGCACCAGGGAGTGCAGGCACAATTCAATCCTGCTCTCCTGCAGCCACAGCATTTCAAACAGCCTCTTGTAGAGCAGAGCTGTGGTATAAATAACATTAATATGGAACAAACACTATGCACACAGCTAAACTTAGAGCAGCAAAGTGGGATTCAGCTGGGAGGGGATGATGAGAGGAGAGAGACACAAGCCAGGAAAGCTGACTCCAGTGGAGGCAAACAGATGATCATAAACATGAGCCTTAAAATAAAGGCAGAACAATCCGTGAGAGTATTTGGGTTAGACCAGAGAGAACAGCCAGAAATAAAAAGCCAGATGGAAAGTAAAGGAAAGCAATTAGGAATAAAAGGGAAGTGAAAATATATTTCTGATCTGTGGACACAGACTAGATCACAAATATTTACAGGCACTGAAGCTGTTCAAAATTTAAAGAAAAAGTGCGAAGAATTTCTAAGCCCTGTCAAAACATGAAAAGATTTAACCTTCAAGCACAGCTCTGAGGAACACTCACAAATCTGACTGGCAAATAAAGTGCTTTCCATTCTATTTTTAATTCCTCCTGGCCAGTGCCCTTCCATACTCTAATTTAAAATACCTATGTCAAATTAGATTCCAGCTCATCTATCACAAACTATAAGATTGAGCAACTGGAAGTTAATTTTATTAGTGCTTCATAAGCCAAGAACAACAACAAAAAAAAGGAAATACAAGCTCATGGCACTCCAGCTGCATTTAAACCACTGTGCTAATAGGATTAAAATAGAGAATGGTTTAGTGGTGGACTTGGCAGGGTTTGGTTTCTGGTAGGACTCAATGATCTGCAAGTTTTTCTCCAACCTAAATAATTCTCTGATTTCATTTGTGGAGGAAGTAGGCAGGACCTTGACTGTGCAACTGAAACACAACTAAGAGGTACCATTTTTATATTAAAGAATTAGAGGTTGGTAGGTAAAACACCAAGTTTTATTATTAAAAAGGCCCCTGACAAGCCTCTGTGTTATTTATACAGATACACAAAGCCTCTTTCAGAATTTTAGTCAAATGGATTAAATTTAAAAAAATATAAGGTAAAAGGAAAAAGCAAAGAGACCTCAAGCCAGACAATGTGGGAACAAGAGGTTACCCTCAGCTCATATTTTTCTCATTTTCTTTTCCCTCAAGGCTGAAGAAACTCATTCAGACTGTAATTACAGATCTTTCATTATGAGTTTGCAACAAGCAATGAATGAATCAGTGGAGCTTCTTTAGAAATTTGAACAAACAAGGGTTTGAAGAGAAAATATCACATGGAAAATATCAAGCTTATATTTTCCATACAGAGAGGAAGCTGTAAGGCTGGAAAAAGACTCCACAGCAGTTTCCAAAGCTCTGCTGCATACCTGCTGCAATGTAAAGCCCATATGTTGTTTACTATGATGGAAAAAGCCTTTTTTGGTTTCACACACACAATGTAAATAAACATTTCTTGGTACACAAGGAACCCCCATGTGTTTTTCTGCCATGTGCTGTGGGCCATAATTTGTGACCAAAAAATTAAGCACAGCAGATTTGTCCATCAATTTAAATCTGACTGCCAAAACAAAATTAACTTTTGAGGTAGAAAAAAGAAAACAGCAGCCTCAGTATTGGCCCCTGGGGTTGCTGCTGCAAAAACTTTAAAAATTATATGAAAATTAAAAGTGCTAGCTAAGTAAGCAAACCAGTGCTATGTTCTGGGCACTGAGTGAGCTGCTAACAAATGCCAGTAACACCAAAGCATGTAACACTATAAAACCAAGCAGCAACAGACTTTTCACTGCTTGCCCATGGAAATAACTGCCAGGACTTTGAAAAGATGTGCTGCTTCTACCTTTCTTCACACTCAACATTTATCCACATCCAGAAGCTGAAGGAGCAAGTAAAGGACTTAAAGGTGAGAAAAACTCAGGTTACATCAATGAACTTTTCAGATAAGATGGGTTCCATCTTTTGCCAGACAGATTTTGTAGGCTGTAATCCCTGTTTTTATCATTTTACTCAAGTTACCCTGTTTAGTTAAGTGTCTGCAAAAATCCATTGGGGAAGTTTTCATAGTAGTAAAAAACAGGGGAGTTGTGGGAATGTAATAAACCAAGCTTTGCCCTGGAAAGATCTACCACAGAGAATATTCCCCACCTAGGCTGAAAGAGAGGACTCCCCCCATGGTGCTTTGCAGCACTATTGCCAATCTACATGGGAAATCTCTCTCAGTTTGAACAGACAGGTGTCTGCTAAGGAAGGCAGGAGCCTCCTCTGAAATGGAGGAGGAAAATGTAAACCCCCCTCCCTCTGAATTATTATAGTTTTATTTAAATTCCCCCATTGGCCAGCTGACCCTGCCCACCCCAATTGTTCATCTCTCATCCCCACTCAGATTGCTGCCCTTTGCACCATCCCTGTACCCTCAAGTCACTGAACCCATACTTTAGTCTGTGCAGACCACATGGTTTTGCCTCTGTCCCTGATCCCTTTGGCATGGTGGATGCACTAAACCTTTGCTGGAATACATCACACAAAGACCCTTCCTGTGCTTCTTCCCCTGAGCTATCTGTGGTGTGTGTGTGGATTTGAAATGGCTCTCATGGCCTTAGAGTGGCTTCTGAAGGAGATGCTTTGAGAGATGTTGCAGCATTTCTACTGTTATAGAGACATATTATAATATTGGCTTTTTGCAAATATTAAAATAGATTTGATATGTGTAATGTTGAAGTAACTTTGTTGTATAATTTTTATTTCTGCTGTTAATTAAGCTTAGACATAGTAGTGAAATAGCAGATATGTGTTATAGATACGTATTATAATATTGGCTTTTTGCAAATATTAAAATAGATTTTATATGTGTAATGTTGAAGAACTTTGTTGTATAATTTTTATTTCTGCTGTTAATTAAGCTTAGACATAGTAGTGAAATAGTAGATATGTGTTATAGATACATATTATAATATTGGCTTTTTGCAAATATTAAAACAGATTTTATATGTGTCATGTTAAAGTAACTGTTATAAAGATATAGTTTTTATTTCTGTTGTTAATTAAGCTTAGACATAGTAGTGAAATAGCTGAAGGTAACTTTGTTACATAGTTTTTATTGCTGGTGTTAATTAAGCTTAGACATAGTAGTGAAATAGCTGATATGTGTTATAGATACGTATTATAATATTGGCTTTTTGCAAATATTAAAATAGATTTTATATGTGTCATGTTAAAGTAACTTTGTTATAAAGATACAGATTTTATTTCTGCTGTTAATTAAGCTCAGTGAAATAGCTGATCTAAGTGTGCTTCTGTTGAAATGCCTGCTGGGATGGGATAACATCCAATGCCCACAGGATGAGGACACCTGCACAGATCTGCCAACCATCAGCACTCCCTGTCTGAAAACACTGTGGGCCAAACCCCATAACTGGAGGTGATAAAAAAGGACTAAAACCACAACCAAAGAATACCCATGCTCTAAAAAGGCAGACCCAAGGAGGAGCCATGCTAAACAATTCTTGAAATATGTAAAGTAGTTTGGGGAAAAGTTTACAATGCACAAGGATCTATGAATATGCAACGGGCTGATGTAATTCAAAGGTATTTAAGGGGTATCCCCAAAGATAATAGGGTGCTCTTTGCTCAGTGCCAAGATGCACCCAGCCATAATCTTTGCTCTGTTGTCCTTGTCTCCTATTGTCCTTTATTAAACTTTTTACATTTTCACAGAAGAGTGTCCTAGACTGCAAGGCAATATGTATTCTGTTTCCTATCTGTCAGAGGTGGGGCAGTTATTTTCTGTTCATTGGGCAGTTTTCTTTATCTCTTCCACAAACCAATCCTCCCTCTAGGACATATATGCTGTTAATGGGCTACTGATTGTCCCTGCATGGCTGATAAAAACCACAGCATCCCATTGGGAGATGCTCTGCCTAGAGGGAGGAGCCAAGCATTCCTACCTGGATACAATCTCAGGTTTTCAGCCTTTCCAGTGGATTTCCCAGAGGAACAGCTGCCTCTTGCACTGGATCTTCAGAGGAAGACTACACCCATCCATAGGATCACTGCTCCAGCAGAACCACACCTGTCACTCCAGGAGGGCTGCAGCCACAATTCCAATGGAACTGCTACCAACACCCTAACCAACAGGGTGTCAGGTTGTGTTCTGACTCTGTCAGTGGTTTTTCTTTTGAATTATTGCATGTATTTTGTGGGGTTTTTTTTTCCCTTTTCCTAATAAATTGCATTTCTGACTTGGAGTCTCTCACTAGTTTTGCTTTCAAACCAGAACAAAGAGCGAACATTGTTTTTTCACATCTACCATCCCACCACCTGGCAGGTGTGCAGGGTGAGGAGATCTCCTGTCACCTGGTGTAGAAGTAACTTACCAACCTCCACATGGCCTCCTGCGTGCCCTCCATTGCTCAGCCCGTTCAGCAGCTCCGTGGCCTCCAGCTGCAGCTGCACTGGGGGCTGCAGCTTCAGCTCCTCCTCCACCCTCTCCCAGCTGCCCTTGGCCCTGGAGCCACGGCTGCTGTTGAAATGCTGTTTCACCTTCTGAATGGTGTTATCTGAAACAACAGGAAAAGCTGCTCAAGTCACCCCTGCAAGGCTGCTTAATTAATCCTTAGTGTTGTTAAAACCTTAATTGCGGTGATATTTTATCGTATCGTGGTGATTTGATTGTTTTAATTTCTTCATTTCATTTCCAAGACTTCCATTGCTGGTTAGGGAACAAAAGTACTTCTTTTAAGTATTTTACAGCACAGAAAGGTTTGGGATGGAGGGGACCTTAAGGATCATCCAGTGCCACCCCCTGCCATGGGCAGGGACAGCTTCCACCATCCCAGGTTGCTCCAAGCCCCATCCAGCCTGGCCTTGGACACTTCCAGGGATCCAGGGGCAGCCACAGCTGCTCTGAGAATCTGTGCCTCCCCACCCTCACAGGAAAGAATTTCTTCTAGTATCTACTCTAAAAAAATAACAAAAATGATCTGTAACTACCACACAAAACATTAAAATCTTGAGCATGAAGTGCATCTTAGATCCAAACACAGGAATGGAGATGATTAAATAAATAAATAAATAAATAAATAACCACACAGCAATATTAGGCACTCAGCAACTTAATAAATAGTAAAAATTATTTTAGAAATGTATTTTTTCTTTAAAAACTAAGCTTTATGCAATTAAAAGAGGCTAGAAATTCCCCAACTCCTACTCAAGTTAAAAAAAAAAAAGAGTAATGTGAATCTCAATATGAAATTACATCCTGGCTGTAATGTGCCCTGCAGGGAATCCACCCAAAATCCAAAATGGCTCTAGAAGATGCTTTCCTAATGGATTTCTCAAGTTTTTAAGCCTGAGTTTAACACTGTTACTGAAATCTGGACTGAAGAGTGCAAACACACTGCAGGATATTATCCTTTCCCAGAAAACTTTCTCACTGCAAGGGAATTGTGTCTTTCAAAGGTGTGAGGTTCAGTAGAGCAGCTGCTGCTTGGCAAGAAAACCAATTATTTCAGGCTAAAAAAGAACCACTGGGCATGGTTCTGAAGTATTCTGACTCCAAGTCATGCCAGAAATAAGCTGCCCATAATAATCTACTCTGTCTCCCTTTTTTCCTGAACTCATCTGTCCTCACCTGTCAGATTTTTTTAATTAAGTTCAAAAGTGTCCGAGGTGTCAATTTCTTTTTTCTTCTCTGCTTGTTCATCAATCACCACAGCATTTTGTTCCCAAGAGATGAACTCTCAGGAACTCCAAACCAAACACTCCAATAGTTTAGGGCATTAAGATCTCCCCCTCCTCCTCCACACCAGGGCAAAGGCACACCCAGAGTCACTTTCATCATCAGCCTTTAGCCAGGAGATGTTGTTTAACAGCATCAAATTGGCAGAGAGGATTTTTACTATTAGAGAACAAAGTTACAAACCAAATTCAATAAAAGCATATGGTCTGGAAGCTGAAGTGATGCTCCTTGTGTTGTAGGAAGCAGCAAATTCCCAGCGAAGCTCTTCCAGGAAGCAGAAGGCCATGATGGTTGAGTAGCTGCTGGAACAGATTGCCATGCAGGCAATATCCCCAGAAGAAAGGAAACTGAAATAGAAATTAAAATTAAAAAATCACATCAACATAAAAAGGTGAGAGTCCTGCTGAACGTGAGGATGGAGCTGTGCTTTCTGTCAGAACAAAATGTACAGACTGAGCTCAGACTGCAGAAAAAAAAAAGAAAGGATTTTGTTGTTGTCAAAATCCTGCAATAATCCCTGTAGATCTATTTTTTCTTACACAATTATTTATTCTTAACTCATCCAGGATGCCTGAGCACAGTGAAGAGCACAAGCCAGACTTTATTAAATTGGTACATCAGTACAAATCCAGGACATTCTTTCCCCAGGCTGCCTTTAAATCACCTGAATAAAAACCAAAGTGGTCAGAAAACCAATTTTGAAAGAAAATGCAGAAAAAAAAAAAATAAAAGCAAGGAATTTTGTTCCCAGGAAGCAGATGGATTCCTTCCTTCCCTTGATGGCAACATCATATTAACAGCAAGAAATATTTGCTTATTTGCACGACCCAAGATTTTCAAACACTTCCTGCTACATCACAGTAAAATTTCTACTCTAAAAGGGGCTCTTCTAACACTGAATCCATATTTATGTACAAGTTTCCACCTGCAGATGGTCCAATCCTTCCAGGAGATTTCTCAGGGACATCTTCCCTTGCAGCCCAGCCATTTGTCAGCAGGAAACCCAGTTCAACACCCAAGTTTGGAAACTGAACTATTTGTCTCCTTCCTCCTGTTCCTGTATTTTACCCCAACTTCATTTCCCACTCCTGGTTTCTATTTCACCTCCTTTTTATTTATTTGCTGTACTGTGGACTTGGGATTTACAGTTTTGCTTGGCTCTGCCAGCCCAGTTGCACTGGGGAGCTTCCCCAAATTCCTTCTGCTCCCAGCTCCCAGCTGGGATCAACACCATGCCTGCCTAAAAGCACCTTTTCCAACTTGTCCATAATTTATGGCCTTTTTGCCACGGATCCAATTGCACTGCTCTCATTCCAGAGCCAGGCTGAGCTGCTGCACAGACCACAGCAGATTAAAAGCTGCAGCACTTGCTGGCATTAAAGGGCACAAGTTGGCTTTGAGTGAAAAGGAATTAAGGAAAAAAAATCTCTGCTGTAAATTCCTGTATTTTTTAACACCCACCAAAAAAGGGATGCTTAGTTTTAGCTTAGGGTCACTTTAAGTTTTCTTCCATTTGCTCACCAGAAATGCAATCACCAGGTAAAAGTCACTTCCTTAAATGAGTTTAAACAATTTTTTTCATTTCTTTCTCTGTAATTTCGTTAATAAATTTCTTCTCCTAAACTAAATTATTCCAAGGTACTTGGATGCCTTCTTAAAGGGATTTGTAGAAATCCATGATTCTCCAGCTGCTAAGAGTAACAAGCACTGTACATTTTTGCTACCCAAAATGAAAATTAACATGAGCAAAACATATGAAAATAAGAAATAATAAATATATAACTAAATATGTATAAATATTGTGTAGGTATCTATAAATATATAACTAAATGTGCATAATTACTGTGTATGCATATAAAATATATAACGAAATACGTATAAATATTGTTTAGGTATCTATATATATAAATATATAACTAAATGTGCATAAGTACTGTGTATGTCTACAAAATATATAAATAAATATATATATTCTGTGTATGTATATAAAATATATAACTAAATACATCTATATACTGTGTATGTATACAAAATACATAACTAAATACATATAAATATTGTGTATATGTCTAAAATATATAACTAAATCATATATATACTGTATATGCATGAAAATATATAACTGTGTATAAATATTGTGTATGTATATAAAATATGTAACTAAATATATATAAATATTGCATATGTATATAAAATACATAACTAAGTAAATATAAATATTGTATAGGCATCTATAAATATATAATTAAATGTGTAAGAGTATTGTGTATGTATATGAAATATATAACTAAATCCATATAAATATTGTGTATGTATATAAAATATATAACTAAATGTGTATAAATATTGTGTATGTATATAAAATACATAACTAAATGTGTATATTGTGTATGTATATAAAATATATAACTAAATACATCTATATACTGTGTATGTATACAAAATACCTAACTAAATCCATATAAATATTGTGTATGTATATAAAATATGTAACTAAATATGAATAAATATTGCTTGTGTGTGTATATGTAAATATGTATAAATGTATGTGTATTTATATGTATAAATGTAAGTGAAAAATGAAATCTATGTAAATATAATCAGGTATAAAACAAATAACAGTTATGTAAGTGTATTTATATAAATTAACATACAAAATATAATATATGAACATGGAAATACATATATAAATATATACAAATATATAACTAAGCACATGCTCACTACACTTAGCAGCAACTGAGGAATAAACTTCAAAACCATTGGAATTCACACCGTACACAAGCAGTGTGGCATTCAGGCTGGAATCAGGCACTGCACACCACACCCATGGTATTATTTCAATATAATTCCACCCCCCAAGAGCAATATTTCAAAAATTAAAGCCAAACCCCCCCAGCAGAGCAGAGCAGAGCAGAGCAGGGACTCACTGGATGCTGAGGTTACGTCCTCTGGCCGTGCCCCGACTGGGGTACCGTGCCAGGATGGAGGACAGAGCCTTCAGCCTCTTCCTGCACTCCAGAAAGTCCTGGTTGAGATGGAAATCTGTGGAGGCTGAGAGGGGAAGCCCATCCCTCACCCTCACCACGCAGGCAAAGAAGATCATGGACATTCTCCACGGGAGTATTCATGAGGACAACCTGGAAAGGAAAGGTTTGAGTCAGTTCATTCTGAAATTCCAGGCAGGATGAGAGTGAATTCACCACTGGAATTGAAAAGCACCTCTGGTGACACCTCTGCCACTGCAAGGCAACCTAACTGTTCTCAAAACTCATGGCTGTGCCCAGCTCTTGCCTCTCAGATTAAAAGATGAGGCAGAGGATTTGATAGGGCAATTATCTGCCAGAAAAATATTCCTGTTTTCCCTCCTGTTTTGCCCAAAGCATCAGAAAGGCTGAGGAAAGCTCTCACAGGTGTTTGTAGAAGCTGCTGTGCTGATCCCACATCCCACTGATGTGCTGCATCCCAAAACCCTCCTGAGCATGGCACTTCTCTATTTTCTAGTGTAACACACAAATCCAAAAATAAATTTTAGGCTAGAGCCCATCAGGTTCTTTTCACAGACTCACCTAGAGCTAAATATAGAACAAAAGTTGCCCTCTCTTGACTTCTTCCTCTTTAAGAGGTCACAAACTCCCGTGGAAAGTTATTCTTGGGCTTCACCTGGCATATTCAGAACATGCAGAGATGTGTCCTTCAGACATACCATGAGGATCCAGGGCACGGTGTCAGAGGATTAACAGCACTTCAGATCATCTCTGAAAGAGAATCAGAATGAACTAAGTAAAAATTAGGTTTAAAACTGAATTAATTACCTGTATTTACATGCATTTTTACCATCAGATCTCCTGTGAAGAGGGAAAACATATCCTAGGAAGTGTTTTGCCTGAAGGAAAACAAACAACTCATTTTCTTATCTAATATATTCATTTCTAGACTCAGTCAAAGATGCTGTGGAATGGCATGCAAAATATTTATGATGCCCCAATCATAATTATTTTAAGTTATGTCAGTAAAAGAGCAGCTCTCAATCAGCAGATTTTAAGGGATTATCACAAACAACTCAAGGAATTCAAAAAAGGCAAAAAAGGAAAACCAAAGGCATTTACTTGGCTTCAGGCAAACTACATAAATAAAGCATTGGGGAAATAAAAAGAAGGGGGAAAAAACACTTTGTGAACTCAAACTTTTGATAAAGAGAACAATTGCTTTGACCAGCCCTGTATCACACAATTGATTAGGATGCTCAAAGTGTCTTTGAAATGTGGCTCTTCAGGACGAGCCTTTCTTGTCTGAGAAGTCCAGAGAGCAAAACCTTCTCTAATTCAGGCACCACAAACTCTCCTGATATCTGATAAGGGCTGAGTTCCTGCCACAGGCAGCACTGAGAGGGTCTCATTTCTACCCCACAGGAACCACTCCCACAGAAATTGTGGGAACCATCCCTCTGTCCAAGGTGCCAGCAGTTAAAGCAACTGCAATTATCACAGGATCATTATCAGAGGAATTAGCAGAAAGCACAATGGCACAAAACTTGTTTCCTTAGAAAAGCAGATTGAAACTACAGAAGATCAGACATCTCTTGAGAAGTGTTATCTTGAACTTTTCAAATGGAGATTAAAGAATTAGATGTGATTTTTTTTTTCCACAATCCCTCTGACAGTTCTCTTCCAGCTGTCATTTAAGTTGTGAAAGCAAACTAAGCTCACAAACTCCAACACACATCAAAAAGAATTTCAACAATAATCGTGATTGTTATAAATCAGTTTGAAACATCCCATCCATCTTCAATGTGCCCATAAGCATTGATAAAACAGTGCAGAAAATTTTCAGATGAAAGTGAAATAAACCCAAAAAATATGAACTTTAACAGAAATATTAACTTTAGCACAGCCAACTTGTTGCTCAGAATTGCAGTTTTAGAGTGAAGGGTTGGTAATGCTGATGAGGTTTAGCTCCAAAACAACTCCAAAACAAGCAGAAGATGATCAGGACAATGAAAAAGCATCAAACTGAGAAATCAAAGACATTTCCTAAAACCTACCCAGCCCATGAAATTATTCAGCTCCCTATGCCACTAACAGCAAGAGTTCAAATTTAAATATCCATATTTTTTATTAATCACCAAGGATAACATCACCTACAGTTATCCAAGTGCACATAGAGAATTTTCCAACTTTCCAAGATGTACAAACCTTCCTGCTGCAGTGCCTAGTGCTGCCAGCTGCCCATCAGAGGGATCCTTTGCTCTGGGAAAGAAAGATCCAGGAAAACTTCCAAATTAAATGCCAGACTTCACTGGAGAAAGGAATCCACTCTCCTTCCTCAGAAAAAGAGGTGTTGGGTGGGTTTTTTTCCCTTTGGCACAGCCCTTGCTACTCTCCCATCAGAGGATGTTCAGAGCTGTGTGTTTTTGGCAAGTGACAGCCACCAATGGCACTGCCCTTGGAATTTTAACCACTTGCAAGGCAGCCCTGCCACGTCACCTGTGCCCAAGCACAAAGTGTCACAGCTGAGCAAGGTGTGCCTGCAGGCAGGTGGCTCAGTGCTGTCACTGTGTCACCCTGGCTGCCCTTTCCTCCTGCAGACTCTCTGTTTGCTCACCATCAGCAGCCCAAAGATCTGCCACTGCCAGGACGTGGCAGCTCTTTGACCTCGGCTCTGAGCTTGGACAATGGACTCGAGGCTCTGCATTCCAATCTTGCAGAGTTCACAGGTGATAACATCAGGGCAGCATCTGGCACAAAGCAGAACCTTGGGAAGTATTTCAAGCAATAATTTCAGAAGAATAGGTTATCATTTAGGACTGAAGGAAACAAAGTTGGGTTTTTTTTCATTTCTTGAAGCACCTGTACATCCAACAATGCTTCAGAGTAAAACTGCCTGGTGTAAGACTCACATTAACAGCCCCAATCTCAGAATAAACCATTCCTCAGTGTATCTGAGTGACCTGGAGCACAATTCCCCCTTCCCTCACTTCCCAGGGAGCAGCCAACTCTCCCCTGGCTGAGCAGGGATTATCAAGGCAGCCTCAATCAGACCTCCTGCACTTCACTGTGTGTTACACAAGCTCCTCTGGGTAAGAAGATTACACCCAACTCACCAGGCCACACTTCCCCAAATGCTCAACAAACTCCTGCTTGATTGCCTGGACTTAGAAAACAATCTGCTCAACAAGCTGTGAGAGCAAATGCAAAGCAGTGCTGAGTTCATAAAGGAGACTGTACCAAAAACCTGGTTCTTTCAGAAATTATCTCACCATCAAAAGCAGGTTTCCTTCCAAGAGTGCCACACTGCTCCCAAAATATGTGACCAGGATTTCTCTGAAGTATTCACTGTCTCTCCCTGTTTAGACACATTTCCCTGCTCTCCAGCTTCAATCCCATCTGCTTTGTCCAGTTCTGACCTTCCTGCTGAAGGAAGAGCCAAAAGCTTTAGTGGATGTTCCCATGGCCCTGAGGCAGAATGTGAAATTTTTTGGACATATGACAGCTTGATATATGACCACAACTACTGCCCTAAAGCTTCCTTCCTCAGGCAGGTGATCTCCAGAGGGAGTCCTGGACAGCTACAGGTGGGATGAACATGAAAGAGATTCAGGTTGACTCATCAGACACAAAACCTGAGCTGCAGCTCCAGTGCTGCTTTGGGTCTCACCCAACAAGGATGTGGTTCATGAGGGAGATTTATCACCTCCCTGAGGGATCACAAAGTGGAGTTTATCTTCTTCTCAGATATATGAAAAAACAAATACAGACCAGTGTTAAATTTCTCATTTTCTAAGATTGCACCAGTATCCACCTGATCCTTCCCAGTGAGCTGCCTCCAAGCCCCCAGCAGTGCTGAGCAGCTACAGACAGCCCAGCCCCACCTTCCAGACTGAGCAGTGAATAAAAGCAATTTGAAAACACGCTGCTATCTCAAAGTTTAACACAGGATTTGTGCATATCCAGAGCTTTTAGGCTCCTATAAATCCTACAGGCTTACTCTTATCCCCAAGGGGAAGCATGTGGAAAAAAAACCTTGCCATCACAAATCTGTCTGCACACATTCCTGTGGATTACCAGAAATGAAGCACACACAAACCTCCAACCCCAGCATCCAGCTCCCACATCAATCCCACTATTCCAACAGACAATCCTCCAAACCACACTGCAACAACTCTGTGATGCTCTGAGGCTCTGCCCCACCTTCATCTCTCAGAAACACCAAATTCACCCGGTCCCAAATATTCACCCACCCATCCACCTCAATCCTGACACCTCCCCAAGCCCAGCAGCTCATCCCCGTCCCTTGAGATCCCACCTAAGAACCCATCCCACCTCCATCCTGTTCCATCCACATTGCACAGAACCACCCCCACTCACACCTCTCCTCTCCCACATTAAGCATCCTAAAAATCCCCCAAAACAACCCCCTTCCCACACTCTTCAATAAACCCGGCACCTCGAAAGCAAACACACCCATGCCCCCACCCAGGGCTCTGCTTTGTGCTGACAAGGCCTTCCACACATCCCTCCAGCATGCAGACACCCCAAAACCTTTACCCCCATCCCCAAAGGCTCCCGTTATCCCTGCTCATCCCAAACCATCCCCAACCCAACCCACGCCTCCTCCTCCTCCTCCTCTACCCCTCAAGGAACCCCCAAATCCTACATCCTATATCCCAACACACGCATCCCCCTGCTCCCCACCGCATCCCCAAACTCCCCTCGTCGCCTTCCCAAGCACCCCAATCCCCCCAGACACCCCCACACCCCAATTTCACCCCGGTCCCCTCCCGGTTCGCTCCCCACACACATCCCGGACCGCCCCGCCCCGGGGACGGGGGCACAGGGAGAGGATGAGGAGCAGGGCCGGTGTCCCCCTGCCCAGCCGGGACCCTCCGGAGCAGGGCCGGTGTCCCCCTGCCCTGCCGGGACCCTCGGCCGCCGCTCACCTCCCGTCCCCCGGCGGCCCCGCGGCCTCGGCCCCGCTCCGCCCGGCGCCGGCCCCGCCCGCCTCACCAGCGAGAGCGGCGGGAGCGGCCGCGCGGGGAGCGCCGGGACAGCGCCGGGAGGACCGGGAGAGCGGGCTGGGAACCGGCACTGGGAACCGGGAGAGCGGGATGGGAACCGGGACTGGGAACCGGGAGAGCGGGATGGGAACCGGGACTGGGAACCGGGACTGGGAACCGGGAGAGCGGGATGGGAACCGGGACTGGGAACCAGGACTGGGAACCGGGAGAGCGGGCTGGGAACCGGCACTGGGAACCGGGAGAGCGGGCTGGGAACCGGCACTGGGAACCGGGAGAGCGGGCTGGGAACCGGCACTGGGAACCGGGAGAGCGGGCTGGGAACCGGCACTGGGAACCGGGACTGGGAACCGGGAGAGCGGGATGGGAACCGGGACTGAGAACGGGGCTGGGACCGGGAGAGCGGGCTGGGAACCGGGCTGGGGACTGGGACTGGGAACGGGGCTGGGACCGGGAGAGCGGGATGGGGACCGGGACTGGGAACGGGGCTGGGACTGGGAGAGCGGGATGGGGACCGGGACTGGGAACGGGGCTGGGACTGGGAGAGCGAGCTGGGAACCGGGACTGGGAACGGGGCTGGGACCGGGACGGCGGGCTGGGACCGGGGCCAAGAACCGGGATTGGGAACCGGCCGGGAACCGGGCTGGGAACGGGAGAGCGGGGTGGGAACGGGGCTGGCGCCGGGACGGGGAAGGGGAATGGGGGACGGGACTGGGAACCGGGCTGGGAACGGGACTGGGGAACTGGGCTGGGAACGGGATAGGGGAACGGGCTGGGACCGAGACTGAGGAACAGGACTGGAGATCGGGCTGGGAACGTGGGGAGCGGGCGGGAACGGGGCTGGGACCGGGATTTGGAACCGGACTGGGGACTAGGCTGGGACCGGGGGGAGCGGACTGGGAACTGGGCTGGGAACGGGATGGAGAGCGGGGCTGGGGAACCGGGCTGGGAACGGGCTGGGAGATAGGGAGATAGGGACAAGGCTGGGACTGTGGGGAGCGGACTGGGAACGGGTATAGGACCTGGGCTGGGGAACGGGACTGGGGAACGGGGGGAGTGGGCTGGGGACGGGCTAGGAAGCGGACTGGGGAACTGGCTGGGACCGGGGAACAGAACTGGGGACCGGGGATGGGCGCCAGGCTGGGTCCGGGGGGAGCGGACTGGGACCTGGGCTGGGGAACGGGGCCGGTAACCGGGCTGGGAACGGGCCTGGGGGTACCACGGGATAGCGATGGCGTGTGGGGAAATCCCTCTGGGAAAAGGCAGTGTCCATAGAGGAGACAGAGGATCCTGCAGCTTCAGTCAGTAAAGGGAGAGAGGCCTTGGGGCACATCCCCGCGGGCTTTTCTCTCCCGAGGTTCCTTTTATCCCAAATCCGCCGCTCGCTCGGTGCCCTCTGCCTTCCCCCTCTGGCCGAGGTACCAGGGAGGTGCAGCCTTCCCGAACCGCCTGCCACATATCCCCCCTTGAACAGGTTATTTACCCCAAAGTTTAGAAACTCGGGGTTGTGCGGCCCCATTTGGCTGTTTAGGAGTCAAACTGCCCAGGTTCTGGAACAAACCCGCGGCTGAAGTTGGGAGAGACATTAAACCCCATTTCAAAGCCGTTAGCAGCCATGGAATTATTTGTAAAGACATCAGCACACAACTTCCCTATCAGGAATGATGGGGATGGGGATGGGGATGGGGACAGGGTGTAGGGATGGGGAGAGGCTGGAGATGGGGATAGAGATGAGGATTGGTGTGGGAATAGGGATGCATGCAGGGTTGGGATTAAATACCCGAGATGGTATTTTTTGTTTGGACTTAGATGTTTATTCATTCTTATCTATATTACAGTCTCACAGACTGAGTTCTACAGCACTTTACTCTAACAAACTAAAAATGGAGTCTTACCTCTTTCTCATAAGGTTTTTTAAAGACAGACTGTCCAATTAAGAAATGACATTTTGATTACTTTTACTTTTAACCTAACAACTAACTACCCATGGCTTGTAATGTGGAATTTTATCTGATTACACAATACCACCTAAACCTATGAAGAAGAAGCTGAAGAAGAAGGATAAGTCTCTGTTCTAAAACTTTCATCTTGCTTTATATATATTATTGTATTCTAAAACCTTAAACTTTAAGTTTTCTACTATGTGATATTACACATTTCTATTCAAACTATACACTTATAATCTCAGTTTTATCATTCAATTTTGGAAGTCTTCTTTATGGCTTTAAGTCAAAAGCAATGTTTTCTTGGGGGTCAGTGCCTGTCAGCACAGAAAGTTTGAAATTCTCAGTAACCAGGGTTCCAACAGGGGTGGGACTGGATGATCTTTAATAATCTTCTCAAACCCAAAGCATCCTCTGACATCACTCTGTGTTTCGCATTGCAGGTGTTGCAGCAGCACCACAACACAAACCGCTCTCACAGGACATTCATCTGAAAAACCAGCAGAATAAAAAGAGTAAACAATAAATCACTGCTGAACAAGGGAGCTCTGAACTCGAAAGCCATGACGTGGAGCTGTTCTCTGAGTTGTTGCTGTCTCTAAGCAATAGCAGCCCTGCTCAGCCCCACGTGCAGTGAATGGCCACTGGTGTTCTGCTGTTCCTCTGACAGCTTCCACTCCCCATGAACACATCCCACTGCTGCAGGTCTGCCTTGCTTCACAGTCTGGCCCTCCCTGCTGAGGGCTGCTGCTTTGAACACATTTCACCAGCTCAGGTTGCTCCAAGCCCTGTCCAACCTGGCTTTGATCACTTGCAGTTTGATTGCTGAGTCCAAATATTCCTAACGAAAAAAATATTTCCATCTACACATCAGCAATGATCTACCCAGTGGAGCAGGAGAGAAACAAAAAGCTGATTTTTCCCTTGCCACAACCCCAGCTGTAAGAATGTGAACAATGAGGCACAGAGCACCACTGAAGTTCCAAAGAAAACAAGTTCACATGCAGACAGGCTTGAGCCAGATAAGCTGACACAATCTGTATCCCATATGAGAAGCTTTGCCAGGGAATTTGAAGCCAATCTTTGCTTCCATTTTTAAGCAGAAAATCCTTATGTCAAAGAAAATAAAACTGTAGAGAAAAGCATGGACTGAGTATTTGGGGCAAAAGGCATAAAAATAAAGCTGCACCACTGAATGCTGGAGGAATGTTGGGAGAATCTTTCTATGTTAAGCACTAAAAACAAACAAACAAACAAACAACCCACAAAACAACCAAACCCAGGGCACATTCTGAAATGGCAGCATGGTTTGTGCATATAAAATATGGATATATTTGAAGGTTTCCTTCCTCAGGGTGCCATGGAGTGGGGTCAGCACACTTTAGAAATGGCCCATGCAGGGTCAGGCAGCCCAGGCAAGGGGGTCACACAAACTCAGGCATTATTCCCTAAATCCTCAGGGAGCTGGGGAAGTGCCAGCCATCATGAGCAGGGCCTTGCTATGAAAATACCTTGCAGTTATTTCGCTGAATGGGTTTTTAGGCTGTATTAAATGCAAATTCACTTCTTCTTGCCATGGCATGGGGGTTAGAGGCAGGGCACTCATCTACTCAGCTCCCCAAGGCACTCAGGAAAATGTGATTTTTTGACTGACCTCCTGTTTGAATTATCCTGCCAGCCTCAGAACAAAAGACTGCTTTATTAGATTGCTTGCCTTTGGGATTTTTGTAGGATTTAATGATCCTAGCCATGACTGGGAAAGAACAAGGCATGTCAAATACTGGAACTTTCCCTAAAATTTTAAATTTAACTAGAAGAGAACACACTGACATGCAAAACCCTTGACAGCTCTCTGGATGAAATCAAGTTGGCATTTGGTGGTTGTGTTAAAATAGACAAAATGGCTTGTTAGAGCTCAAATGTCTTCACCACTACTTCCTGAGTGAGCAGGAGGGCTGGACACCAATCCTGGGTTTAAAAGGCCACAGTGCTGGTTCCAAGGTAAATAATTGTGAATGACTCAAGTGATAGCACACAGCTCTGCCTGAAAGGAAAGGTACACCCTGGTCTGACAGGCAAGGCTCTGACAGGCTCTATGCCTTTCACAAATGCTTATTTATAAAAAAAAGGTTATGTGAATTCACCTTGTGCGTGTCTGAGTAGTGGAGTGAAACCACTGCTGTGAATCTGAAGGTTTAGATGGGATATTGGGATGGAATTCTCAGCTGTGAGGGTGCTGAGGCCCTGGCACAGCTTTCCCAGAGCAGCTGTGGCTGCCCCTGGATCCCTGTGAGTGCCCAAGGCCAGGCTGGATGGGGCTTGGAGCAGCCTGGGACAGTGGAAGGGGTAGAATGGGATGAGCTTTAGTGTCCCTTCCAACCCAAACCATTCTGGGATTCTGGCACCTTAGATATGCAAACAGTGAACCCAAAACATTGCAAAGTGGGGGAGGAGTGTAAGATGAAAACCTCAGCACGCTCCATTTTACACCTGTCCAGGAGCCAGAGCCTCCATGAAAAGCTGCTGGAGGAGGCATCAGTCCCTTTCTGGGGGCAGGTTTGTTGTCTCACCCACAGCAGGGGATCATGACACTCCTCTGCCCGTGGCTGGCAGGACCAGGTAGCTCAGCACCTCCTGTAGCAGCCACATTTCTGTCTCACACTGTCAGAAGGGTGACAGCATGTCACGAGAGATGTCATCAAACATTTTGTGTCACCAGCACATCAGTGTAAGACCCTGGCTGAGCTCTGCATTCACACAGTAATGACAGTCTCCAAATCACATCATAATGCTCATTTCATTCCTTCCCTAAACATCCACGATGGAGTAACTTAGGAAATAAAGCCTTAAATTTCCATTTCCTAAGAATTTGGGTTAACATCTAGAACAACTGATTTGATACTGTAGCAGGAGGTAAATCCTTTTATTTGCTGTACATTATTGCAGAAGAACATGTCATAACTTGTAATCCAAATCCTCAATCTTGTGAGCATTTGATAAGCATGTGGGAGGTTTATTTGTCTGACTGCTCTCCCTGAACTGAATGCATCCATGCCTTTAAATGTCATTTTGGCTTGTTTAAATGTGCTCAGGATATAGGGTTTGTTTTATACTTCATATGGAAAGAATCATTGAATAATTATTCTGCTTTTTAATATTCATGTTAATGGTTTCTTGTTAATATATAAAAAGAGACAGGGATACTGATTCAGATGGAATGTGTAAGTAGTTTTCAAAAGTACCTAGAAGCACATGTCAAAGAAAGGATAAATGATATTTCCCACATGAGCCAGAGCTTCCAACTACTTTCATCCCAGAGAATTCTGTGAACCTTATGTGGTTTTTCTACTTGGTAATCCTCAGCAAGACTCTCTGAAGTCCTGCCTTAATTTCCTTTTTAAGCCAGGAAAGCTTTCTCCATCCACAACCTCTGGCAAGGACTTCTAAGGTTCAGCTGCCCACAGCATGAAGAAACATCTCTTCTTCCCCTGTATTAATATTGAAATATGCAAATCCACACTGACCTTCTTTTCTATGTTTGTTGTTTTTTGTTGTTTTTTTTTTTTTCAATGATGAATTTACTCTGAGTTCTATCTTTGCCATGTTATCATGGCTTACATACTGATAATTTCTATTGCTGCTGTTGTCCCTGTGCCATGAACGCTGAGCAAACCCGGAGCCTCTGGATTTCCTCTTCCACTCCCCGGCTCCAAGGACAAAGAAAGGAGCCGCATCCTCGAGGCAGCTCCCAGCAGCTTTTCACTCTCTGCCCAGGTGGTGCTAAAACTGACACAACTGCTTGAAGTCTTCTGACACCCTGCTGCTCATCCCTGTCCCGCTCTGCCACGGTTGTTTTGGTGAGGGCAGATCAGAGAATGAAGGCAGGAAAAAGAGGAGATTCACCCACTCCTCCGTGTGAGCTCTGTCACGGAGCCCCGGGGCAGGCGGTGCAACCAAAGGAGCAGTTCAGGAGGAGGCGAGAGCGTTCTAAGCTTTGAGGAGGTTTCACGTTACGTTCACCCTGGAGTCAAGCAGCAGCTCGGAATATTTTTATCAGCAGGGAGCCCTGAGTACTTTTGACTTTTAAAAGCCTGAACAGCATAAGCAATAAACCAGATGTGCTTTCTGTCTGCTAAATGCAGCCCCATCACTGAGGTTTCATTCTGTGTCCATTTGCAGTCCGTGTGAAATGGGGACTAGAGGGCACGATGCCTCTGGAAAGGGAATTAATGATCAATTCCACATTTATACTGGCAAAGAATCCCACCATTGTGATACTTAAGTGACCAGAATGGGGATTAGCTTTGATTTTATTATATTACTTCCTCCTTCCCTCTGCCAGGAAGAGCTGCTTGGCACGGCAGGGCAGGCAGAGCCAGATCCGCACCCCAGCTCAGGCAAGGAGCAGGGGCACGGTGCTGAAACAGAGCCCTCAAGCCCAGGGCTGCAGGTACATGGGAAAAACTCCAGGCAGGAATTCTCAGGTTTCCACCACAGCCTGATCCAACGTTTCAGCTGCCCTGCACCAGGGCTGACCCTGAGCACCTGCAGCCAAAGGCCTGGGAGGGGCAGGGAAGAGGCTGCAGAACCTGTTGGTGCACCCAGGGCTGTGACAGTCACCTCCTTTCCCACCACTGCTTGTCCCCATTTACTGTATTGGGAATGTCTCCAAGGGGGCAGGAATGATGAATTTGACTTTATGTTTTTAGAAGGCTAATTTATTACTTTATGATACTATATTATATTAAAGAATACTATATTAAACTAAATAATACAGAAAGGATATTTACTAAATGCCAAAAAGATAATAATGAAAACTTGTGACTCTTTCCAGAGTCTCAACACAGCTTGGCCCTGATTGACCCAAGAGTGAAAACAACTCAGAGCAGAATCCAGTGAAACAATCACCTGTGGGCAAACATCTCCAAACACATTTTACACAAGCAAAACAGAGGAGAAGCAAATGAGATAATTATTGTTTTCCTTTTTTTGAGGCTTCTCAGCTTCCCAGAAGAAAAATCCTGAGCAAAGGGATTTTTCCAGAGAATGTGAATGCCACGCCCACAACGTTACAAAGGTCCCACATTGGAGGAGCAGGTGTGACATGCTTGGTGCACAGATATCGTCCCTCAGAGGCCACATTCCCCTCAAGGTGTCCAGGGGCCACCAGTTTGGGGTGCAAAGCTCTGCAGATGCTCCCAACAGGCTCTGCTGTGCTGGGATCACACCAACAGGGCAGCCAGCAGGGCAGTGATGTGCCAGGGCTTCTGTCCCCTTCAATGCACTGTCATGTTAGGGCTTCTGTCCCCTGCTGTCCCCTCTAAAAGGACCACAAAGACGTTCTGAAGGCTGCTGCACTTCTGATCTGGAGCCAGGCTGAGAGACTTGGAGAACAGAAGGCTCCAGGGAGACCTTAGAGCAATTTCCAGTAGCTAAAGGGGCTCCAAGGGAGCTGGAGAGGGACTGGGGACAAGAGCCTGGAGTGACAGAACAAGGGGGCTTCCCACTGCCAGAGGGCAGGGTGAGATGGGATATTGGGAAGGAATTCTTGGCTCTGAGGGTGCTGAGGCCTTGGCATGGGGTGCTCAGAGCAGCTGTGCCTGCCCTGGACCCCTGGAAGTGCCCAAGGCCAGGGTGGATGGGGCTTGGAGCAGCCTGGGATAGTGGAAGGTGTCCCTGCCATGGCAGGGGTGGGGCTGAATGATCCCTTCCAGCTCAGACCACTCTGTGATTCCATAAAAGATGTTGGCAGTCACTTCATCCATCTGGGACTGTGGCTGAGAATGAAGGGGACAATCCTGTGTGCAAGGCAGAGGATTGGACCTAATCCTGAGAGTGCAGGACAGAGCCAGGGCACTCAGGTGGGGCAGTGACCTGGAGGGAAACAGAAATGCAGGTGACAACTCCTGAGAGCCTCCCACAGCACCTGGCAAGGGGAGCACAGCAGGTCCAGTGACAGTGGCCAAGAGTCCAGCAGATGCCAGACAGATCCAGAGCATGAGGCAGGTGCAGAAAGCCAGGAGCAGGTGAGGATCAGCAAGGCACAAGGAAGGGCACACAGAGACCTCAGCATCCCTCAGGCAAGGGAATGAGCTTCAGTGCAGCTCCTGGAATACAGCAAAGAGACCCCAGACAGGTCCTCCCACACACTCACAGCTCAGCAGAAGGACCCAAAGCCATGGCAGAACTTTGTCACAGCTC